CTGAAAATTTTATAACGGTTTTCATAAACGCCCGATGTAAATTAGTTTTTATAAACAGATTCTACGATTCCGTTACCGAATCAACTATCCACGACGATTACATGATGATCTAACGATTACGAATCATGACGGAATTGTTCCGTAACGGGACTGTAGCATTTCCTTGAACGTTAACCGCAAACAAGCCACATGGTAACTGTAGAAAAAGGTAATGAGTTGGTCTCATCTCATGAACTCGTACTAATGCCATAATAATCCCCGTGACCAAACACTGGGCCTGCACACGTGATACACTAAATCTTCACTCTTAAGCCTTTTACATTGTTTTGCTTAATTGTTTCTTATTTTTTTTTTATTTTTTTTGGTAACAGTTAATGTTTGTGAATAAATAAATTTTCTCTTCACAATAGTACTGTTCTATCTTGTCGAAGATTTTTATGTTTGTGTGCTTATTTGTTGTCTGTAGCCGCTCTGTAATGTTCAATAAATTTCCTTAGTATTCCTCTCTTTTTTTTTTCTTTTTTCTTTACTAATAAAAGCAAATGTCTTTATAAATGGAGTATATTTATGGATATTTGAGTTCCAGAAAGTATAAATTTGTGCTTAAAGTTGTTACATTTATACATAACAATTAAGAGGTGATAAATGGTTTCATTGTATCTGTGTTCGTATCTAATTATCGTGTCTTGTTTGTTCCAAAACAAAACACGATTACTCGACAAGGTTTCACACATACTCGGATTATAATTAGGTAAACCAAGCCTTAAATGATCATATTGAAGAAGGTGTCATACATACTCGGATTATTATTTATATTGGCTAAAAAAAAAATAGAAAATTTACCTTAACAGATCCCATAATTTAGAAAATTAAGATTTCATGTGGATTAGAGCATATTTAATTAGTACTAACATTCTTGGGGTTTGGCCTTCCTCCATTGAGCCAAGTGAGATCATAAAAACAAAATACATAAAAACATCCATCTTTTGACAAAATTGAAACTTGATATATGAGCTCAATGTGATTAATTTATGGTAATCATATAATTATTAAGTTTAAAATGGTTATAAAATCTATAAAACATGTATGTTATCAAGTTGCATGGTATTCTTGATATCAAATGTTTGAGACATGAGAAATAAGTCAATGAGCATCGAGCCCAAGAGGGTTAATTTTTATTCTATTTCTCTTTTTGTGACACTTAATTAAATTATATAATAAACTCATCAGTCCTTAATCATCATTTACTTAATTGTCATTAAGCCCCTGATGCCCTTGGTTTAAGTGAAAATACAGCTTGTTATGTTCTGACTTGTCCTTCTCATGTGAAATTTTTATACTGTGTGTGTGTGTGTGTAAGCTAGCTGGTAATTGTTATTTTTTCTTAGGTAAAACAATTCAAGTGGAGTATTTAATTAGAAATTTATAAGAAAATATTTTATGGTAATAACTTATTTCAACTTTGCTGAATTGAATGTGTTTGAGGTCATGATTATCTTGAAAAATTATTGCATAATTATCATTATTAACTGCAAATTTTGTTTGTTCAATCTTGAAAATGTTTTATTTAACTATATGAGTAGAGTTGTTAAACAATAAACTAAAAGGCTTCCAAAACGTAGCTCGGTTTGATTCATGAGAGTTTTCACGTTCGTCTTGTGTGTTACTTAAACAAATCACGCTCGAACAACTAATTAATTGACCACTTTATAAAATAAGCGGAGTCGAGCTTATTCGCAATCAATGCATGTTTTTATATGTTTTAAATGAAATAATCGAGCCAAACTTAGCCGACATTTCTTGTCCGTGATTAGCTCGTTTAGAATTTTACATTAATTAAACGAGACGACTCGTTTATTAAAAGACACGAGCTCAGTTCGGTTCGTTTAATACCCTTCGTAAGAGCATCACAATTCACAAGAAAACAAAAGCGAAATATGTGAGAATGTAGTTAAAAGCCACAACTTGTGAAGAATTCGTTTTTTTAGAAAGGAGCAAAAATCAGAAATTCTATGGCACCAAGACACGAAAATGATTTTATTTATTTATTTAATTTAATTTAAATTCCCTAAATAGGAACGAATAAGGAAATCATAATTGTAACGGAAAAACGGTAAACGCGATTCTAATTAATCCCAATGCTTCTCTAATTACTAATTAGAGGTAAAAATAATTTTAAACTTCAAGTAAAAATAATAAAATGAACGAGATCTGTTATGAAAAGAAGGGCCACCCATTACGAAGCTTTATTAATGGTACTTTGGTATTAGTGTTGAAATAAACCTTAATTAATTAATTGGCATTAGTGTTGAAAGATAAATTAATAATTTACTGCCATAATTAAGCTCGCATTTTCATGGTGAAAACAAATCCAACAAAGACCAATCAATAACTGAGGAACCACGCTTCTTGAAAACCCGCTTATTATTATTTTTTTTTTAAAAAAAAGAACGCTAAATCAAATTAATTATTTTAGACAAATTATTTTCGAACATAAACGTATCATAATTAGGCGTCGAGTTAAAGCAAGAAATGTTGGTCTCTCAATACAATTGTCCTTTAATTTCTCTATGTAAATTCTTGCACAAGACCGCCTACTCGTCATAAATCGTGTCGATTCATCGTATTTTCTTTTTTTAATAAAAAAACACAATAAATGTCATATTTTAAAATATATTATTGAAAAAGTATGACGGTCTAACCATTAACCCGATGTGATAACAGTCTTATCGTTTTACGTATTATCTAAAAAATATTTAAAATTAGGAACGGATCTTTTATTATTATTATTACTATTTCGTTAAATAGAGTTTTGGGATTTATTATATAAATATTTTAATAAAATATTGTAATTGAGATTGAGAAGAATATATTCTTGTTCAGAACTTCTGATAATGTGTAGGAGAATTCAAATGGAGGCAAAAGACGGTGCAAAGTTCAACTATAACGATAAAGAAGTTAAAATAA